GGGAGTTAATGGTTATAATTTCATTAATTTTCATTTATGCTCCCTTCTAAGTGGAGGAGAGAGGAAAGGAGTCATGATTCCCACAGTTCATCTAACATCCATCAATCCATCTGATGTCGATCTCTGTTATTCTAGCTTCACTGTCCTTAGATCTGTGTTTACTGGATCACTAAAGCACCACGCCTAGTTTATGCCAACAGGCCTGGTTTTGAACCTCATTGTGAAGATGCATTTAACTAAAGGAAAAGATTAAATAAAAGAGCCCAGAAAAATATTGTAAGGATCTTAAAAACCTCCTTACAGGTATCCTGTCAGCGCGATGTCCCTGTAGGTAGTTAAGGAAGGAAGCACGCTGTGTGTACGCTCCTAGTTTCCAACATCTTTCACAGAGGTATTCTGAGAGTATGTCACAAGTGAACTACAGATAAAGTGTAAACATCTCTTGGTTTGCTGTATGTGCCGAAAGTAACAAACTATAAAGAAGGAATTAAAACAACAAGTGATGGAAACTCCTTGTTACCTCATGATATAAAGAGTAGAAATCATCGTACTCCATCTGTAACAGAAATATTAAAGTTAGAGTATTTTTACCAATCATTCTTTATATGTAAAATACTGATAAATCAGAAAGATCCAAAGATGCTGAGCATGTTGCTGGGACATTAATGTCTCCATGGCCTGAGGAATGAGTGGATTATAGGATTTACTTTCTGATAAACCATGAAGATCGATCCATCAGTAGCTGCGTTTCCATTGACCATAATATTATGCAGGTTGGAATTACAATAAAAAAATGTCACTTCCCTTGATTTCATGTGTGGTGTTTGACCTCTGACCTGCATCGTCCACAGTGGGACCTTATATAGACAGGTATCTTTCCAAATCAAGTCCAAGCAACTGAATTTAGGTTGATTATGTTGGTTTCAAAGAGTAACTGTTGTGACTTTTGGGGGTTATGAATTATAATTTCATTCATTTTCATTTCTGGGATCGGAGCTCCGTTCAATGTGGAGGAGAGAGGAGAGGAGTCATGATTACCACAGTTCATCTAACATCCATCTGATATCAAGGCACCACTGTTTTAACTGTCCTCAGATCTGTTTTAACTGGATTGCTGATGTTACAGTTATTTAAGCAGGCCTGGTTTTTACCCCACAGAGGAAATGCAGCCAATTAATGAGAAGTAAAAGTCCCAGAAAAGACTGTGAGGGGTCATAGTTGAAGCCTTTATTGATACTCCATGAGTACTGGTTTTTGTTAAGCATCATCACTAAATAAAACCCAGATGTAAAGTGGAGGTCATATAAATAAAAACATCTGGGCCACGTGATACAGATACTAGATGTGTGTGAAGGTTCGTACATCGCCTGCGTTCTCTTCAGGTGCCTGTAAAAGAAACGAGCAGAAAGCAGGAAAGTGAATTAGAAAGGAATGATCTACACTTGATCTCTTATGATGTTAAAAGTTTTAATTAAAATCCCTGTTCAAGTAAAAAACAAGACATTACAATCCCTTCCTTCCTGGTGTAAATCCTTTTTAAAATTTGTTTAATAAAAAAATGTGGTAACTTTTGCCTGTTTTTGATTTAGCAGCTTGTCTCTGAAAAACAGGCAGCAACAGAGGAGAGAGAAACGGTGAAGCTGTGATCAGCTTCTGTCTGAGCTGCAGTTTGTCCAAATTACACATTAACTTGGTGTAATGTGAATTTCACTTTTTGTTTAGAGTTAAAAATAAAACAAAGTTCAGGCGTGGGAATTTGTTTACATTTTTTGACTCCATTGTCTGAATCCAGAATGTTTCACATTTAAAAAAATAAAGTGCCAGAATGTAACTATATTATATGTACGCCACAATAATCAGCTGACCTGAGTGTTTATAATTATGTTTGGGTCAGCATTGAACTTCTATGAAACCAAATTAAATATCTGGTTTATTTGAGCCCATCAGAACCAGAACCTTGAGGTGATCACAGCCCGTCCACAGTAACGAGGAGCAGAACCAAACCGCACATTAACAGGTTAGAGTGCGATTTCCCAGTGGAAAACACCCAAAGTTACTCCAAGATGCAAGTAGATAAGACCCAGCTGAACCAGAAAAAAGGGTCACAAACTGGAAACCTGCCCATGGTTAGCTTAATGTTTCCCAATAGGTACTGGTTCTTGTCAAGTGTTACCACCAAAGAGACCCAGATGAAACCATGAAAGCCATATTAATTAAAAAGTCATATCATGTAAATGTGTGTGAAGGTTTGTACTTCTAAATGGAGGAACGTAGGTTTCTGTAAAAGAAACACAAACAGAAAGCAGGGACAGAAAGTTAGTTAAAATGATCAGCACCTGATGACTTATATTGACTAATAAAACCTGATCAGTGCTGATCAAGTTTTATTAGTTGAAGTCACTGTTTATCTAAAATGTCAGATATAATCAATACCTAGCTGCCACTTAGAGAAAATACATCATAATGACACCATAAGGACACCTATAGATACCAGTATAACTTTACTGACACCCTTTTGTGCTTCTTCATAAAATCTTTGAATCACCTGTAAGTATCCTGTAATTGGCCTACAATTACCTGTCATATCCACAAAGGTGCTTCTAGATGCAAGTAATATCTATGTACTTGTCTAATTTCCAATATTTTCACATCAGTGCCCTGAGAGAATGTCACAGGTGAACCACAGATAATATGTAAACAACCAACTGTTGGTTTGCTGCATGTGCCCTAAAAGGGGCTGAGAAATATGGATCTAAAGTAGGGCTCTTCATGTTTTCCAGAGCTGTAGATACCCAATAAGTACTGGTTCTTATTGAAACATTGATCAAACTGTAAATTGAAATCCATATCAATTAAAAACATATTCACCATATGATACAAATATTATTTTTGTGTGTAAAGGGTCGTACATCACCACCGATCAAGTCACATAGCTGTAAAAGAAACAAACAGAAAGCAGGAAAGAGAATCAGAAAGGTATGATCTGAGCTTGATCACTTATGTTTTTTAAGGTTTATTAGCTAAAATTACTGCTAATGTAAAATGCCAAACATTAAGATACATTTCTTCTAGCTGTAACTCTTAACATTTTTATTTATGAAAATTTGCCATAAATAAGGGCCTAAAGTAACAAACTGTAAAGGAGTAGCTAAAAAAAACAACAGTGGTGGAAACTAAGGTTTGGAGTGACTCTGCATAGGTTTCAAAGAGTAACTGCTGTGACTTTTGGGAGTTATTGGTTATAATTTTATTAATTTTCATTTCTGGGATTGGAGCTCCCTCCTCTGTGGAGGAGAGAGGAAAGGAGTCGTGATTCCCACAGTTCATCTAACATCCATCAATCCATCTGATATCAAGGCTCCATTGGTTCTTAGATTTGTATTCCCTGGATCTCTAATGCTAAAGCACCAAACCCATTTATGTTAACAGGTTTTGGTTTGGATCTTACAATATGGAAATGCATTCAACTACTGAGGAAGGTAAAGTAAAAGATCCCAGAAAAACTGTACGGGTTTCAAAGTCTAAACCTGCCTACAGCTAGCTTAAAGTTTCCTGATAATTACTCCATAAATACTCGTTCTTGTTAAGTATTAAAGTATCATACTGTAAAGTGAAAACCATATGACACAAATACTAGATTTATGTGTGAAGGTTCGTACCTCGAGATCGCTTTCTTCAGATGACTGTAAAAGAAACAGAAAGCAGGAATAGAAAGTCGATTAGAAAGGTTTGATCTGCATCCGATCACTTCAGTTGCTTCAAATTTATTGGTAGAAATCCCTATTCCTCTAAGATAGCAAACAGTAAGATATATTTCTTCTAGCTGTAACTCTTTCTTAACATTCGAGTTAAAAAATATCAATACCTCTGCATCAGAAACCACAACCTAAAAAGAAGAGAGCAGACAGAAGAAAATCAGTTACAAGAGCAATAATTAACTATTTCTCATCATTATTATCCAGTTCCTGCCACAAACCTGAGGTAAGTGTTTTATGAAAAGCAGAACCATTTCTTTAAAATCCTTCCAATTATCTCCTCAGCTTCCAAAGCTTTTAAATTTGTATTTTACTGCAGCAGAGACAATAAAAAATCTTAAAGAACTGATTTAAATATGATCATGTTTCCTATAGCAATAAATTTCCACTACTCCAGAAACATTTCTCAAGTTTGGCTACAGCTGCATCGAAAACATGTGATGCCCCTCAGGGATCAACTCTTTGTTTTCTATTCCCACCAGTGGATCAAATTTACACTGAGGTGAGTTAAAATGGAGTCTGATGCGGCTGCAAAACAAGTATTTTAAAAATAACCACACAGATTAAACCTTTTATACAAGTTTTGAATCCCCAGGAATATTAACAGAAATATTTTCACTTTTTCTTTGTCCTCAGGAAGAGTCCAGGTGATGTATGGCAGGAAGTCCACGTCCTCCTCTGCGATCAGCTTCGGGATGTCTGTGACGCCATCGTCTGGCTTCCCAGAATCCTAAAACAGGAAAAATGACTTTGGTTTGATTCAAAAACACATCTCTAAACGTGACATGAGAACAAACAGACCCTCTCTTCGATGGCCACGAAGCTGGTGAACTGAGACAGTATGGAGAACTCTTTGCTCAGATCGATGATGAAGGACTTCAGCTCTGCTTTTTTACCCTGAAAACACAAAAACAGGAGTTTCACCAAAGTTTAGCTCTGATTTGAGGTCAAAGGTGACACGCATGCTGACCTCGTGTTCAGCTTCGGTGATATCAAGGTTCCCATCCTCGTAGTCTCTGATCAGGGCTCTCGCTGTGAGCTTATGAAGAAACTAAAACAACAAATCAAACAGCTGAGGTTGATTGTTTTTCATGTTTCAATGTGTTTATACGATAATAAACAGCCTTACCGTTCCTCTGGTCTTCTGCAGCTCTGTTGTTGACACCATGGTTTGAAGCTCCTGACCACGCAAGTCTCCAAGAAGAGTCGCCTGCATGAAAAATCACAGACTTTATTATTGTTAATCGTTAGTTGCAGCCAGCTCATGATCAACTTTACTCTTCTTTGTAATTTCTCTGATCTACCTGGCCCAGCAGGTAAAGCAGAGAAGAAGAACCAGTTGAATACCTGAGTGCAGTGGGGCACAAAGCCGTAAACCAGCGTGTGGCAGTCGTTGAACAGGGAGTTCAGCTGCTTCGGGGCTTGAACTGGAGGAGCTCTGGGGTTGAACTGCTGCCACTTCACAGAGACGGAGCTGCAGCCGGGAGACGACATGCGCTTCACCTGGCGCTCCACCTGCAGCCACAGCATGTTCAGGTATCACAGCGTCTCCAGTTCAACTGATAAGACTCAAATTAACCTTCATGATGAATGTTCACCTTGTAAAATGCAACATGTGGAGAACTCTACAGATTAACTAAACTCACTTTCATTTTGGGTCATATAAAGATCATAAATGTTGTCAAGGGCCAGTTGTGCCAGAATGTATTGATAAAACCCATTAACAAATTGTTAAAATATTGATAAATAGCCGACTCTAAATTCCATAGATACTTCTTTTTATTGATCAGTTCATCCAGAATCTCGTGATTGTTTCTGTGATTTTGTGTTGCTCAATTTAAAATGATATAATGTAAGAAATTAAAAGTGATATTTTGTGACTCGCCGTACTGACTGTGGTCTACAACTTCAAATGGGCCAAGTGAGGCAGGAGTGTGGTAAAATTAGGAAATACTGCCACCTGCAGGTGACAGTTAACATCACCCAACGTTTTTGACAAGTCCTGCAGAGAATTTTTAATAAACCACTGTCGGTGGCAGCTTCGACATGGGCAACCACCCAGGGTGGTATCTTGTGGAGGGGTCGGCATGAGCTCTGCAGAAATGTACAAACTTCAACCAGCCAACTGGCGATAAATTTGCACTTGCCTGTGATAGATCCAACAAAGCTAATTAGCTTGCAAGGCTACGTTAGGAGTGAGCAGTAGCCCCGACTGCCCAGAGTCACACTGTGATTACGACTCAAACTTTAGCCCGACAGAAAAATTGTATGTGAGTTTGTCATGTGAATTAGAAAGTCTCACCTTCTCAGCCCAGGTGTGCTTCGCTTTAGAGTCAAAAAACTCATAAGCCCCGCCCCCTGCCTGAGCCAGGGCTCTCAACATGTGGCGATTGGCTGTGGAGCTGAAATGACAAACACAGCCACTTCACCTGGTTTGAAGGGAAACTAAACATGAAAAGGAAGCGAGGGATGAAGACCTTCCTCACCTGAAGCCGCAGGTGAAGAGGCGGCTGTGCTGGGCGTTGTCTCTGAGCAGCTGCAGGGTGGCCGCCGCGTTCTGGATGTGGCCGTCCGACAGCAGCAGCAGGTTTCGAACGCCGGCGGACGGCGGCAGCAGGCTGAGCGCCCGGAGAGGCCGCCACAGCTCAGTGCTGCCCCCTACTGAAGAGCAGCTCTAACAGCAGACAGAAGAGAATTACTGGTAAAGTTTGGAAATACATTTTAATTCCAAGTAGAACTGCAACTAATGATTATTTTAGTATTTGATTTTTCTTTTCCTTCTACATTGATCATTTATTTCATTTAACCACTTTACTATATTGTATTTCCAACACAATATTGGAAATACAATAAAAGCTGCAAATGAAATAATTAAATTCCTTTTTTAAATAAGAAAACTAACATTTATTACCTAAAATGCGATAACACAGCATGTCTTTAGTGCATGCTTGGTTATTTATAGCAAAGAATAGATTTTTGCACAGTTATGGTTTCATTGCTATTATTAATATATTGCTCTTCCAGCAAATTGTCTTTTTTACAGTTTGTGTTCTCTAGTTTATGATTAATCGATGACTGAAATTAGTTGACAATTATTTCAATAATCAATTAATCACGATCAAGACAATTAGTCGTTCAGCTTTAATTCCAAAATCAGAAATTATAATTTAAAAAAATAACAAAGAAAAAACACATTCCCATATTCAGACTGAATATTTCAGTTAGGCTTACCAAAATTATTTATATTTATGATTTTCCCTCCATTCACCTCAAATGTTTTGAACTGACCTATCAGAACCTTACAAAGCCATGACATCATCATCTAATGAGTACCAAATGCTAGAGTTTGAGTTATTTTTAAAAGCATTTACAATCCAAATAATCTAAAAATAATAATGATCCAAAGTAACTTAAAATATAAATATTTTTGTCTGATTTAATGACAGACTATGAAAAATTAGCTTTTTATGCAATTCATATCAATATCTGGTTTCAACATTAGTTTGAAATACAGCTAATCATTGCAACTAAAACCAGAGCAGCTTTTTAAAAATTAAAAATGCTAAAATTAAAATACCTTTAAAAATAAAGCATTAGTTTGTACAATTATGAGCATTTTCTCCAAATAAAAACCTTGCTAACGAGTCTGAACTCACCTTGATGAACTTCTTGGCTTCAGCTTGAACCTCGTCAAGTTTCTGAGCCGACAGGAAAGCTTCTGTGTGATCTGAAAACCAAAAACAAGACAAATCAAAAAACCAAGTCAGGCTGATGGAGAGGAGATGGTGGTTGCTCCTGAATGTAGCAACTAAATAAACCAACAACTTTCTGCAACTTTTAAATTATTTACAGGAAACTTTTAGACAGTGCATTTTGTATGCTGAAGGTTATATGAAATTCTCTCAGGATGGCAATTAGTTAGTTGAAGAAAAGTGACCTATAACTTCACGGAAAGTAATTTCCAAGTTCATGGAAAGTAACCTGCAAGTTTGAGAATAGAAATCTACAAGTCTTAGGAAAGAAACCCTTACGTTCTGGGAGAGTAACGTATTTTTTTGGAAAGTGTCCTGCAAGTTCAAGGAAAGCAACCTGTATGATGGTGGTGTGTTTCTGGAATTCACAGTGCAAATTTGGGAAAAGTCTCTGAAACATAAAGCTGGTTCACATTTTGATTTGGATGTTTTAAATAATATCCAGTCCCAAAATTAAACAGTGAATCAGAGTTCAGTTCTGACCAGTTCTCTGCTCTTATACCAACCTGTTCCAAACAAAACGATGTTGATTTTGACGTCGTTCTTCAGATTCTTTAAAACCTGCAGGGCGATTTTCTGGGCCAGCTGTAATGATTCTCCCTTCATGGACTCAGACGTGTCCAGCAAAAGAACAACTTCACTGCCTTCAGAGCTGGAGTCAAACTCAAAGTTTGGGTAGAAAACCAGCATGCAGGCCTGCAGCAGAGTAGAGGGTTAATTCACTTAGTGTGGAGTGCCTCAGGGTTCAGTACAGGGACTCTTTGAAAACAGATTGGTGTGAAAGAGGGAAGGACAAACAGACCTGGCTGTCCTTGTCTGGGTGTTTCTCCACCCACATTCTGGGAAGATGAACCTCAGAGAGAGTGACAGACATCTGGAAACCATCTGACCCCATGACCTGACCCGGCAGAACACTGACCACCGCCTTACAGTCAGTCCTCTGGACAACAGAATACAAACAAAATGAGTTACATAAAAATAAAAAACAGATAAACAGTAATGATTCACCTTCAAAAAACAAGTTTAAGAGGTAAAACTCCATAAAAATACTAAATATGAACCCAGAAAAATGAACTTGTAATAATATGCAGATGATATGATTGTTTATTATTAAAAATGGCACCTTAATTTTGACTTGATGAGTGATGCACGTCAGGCTAGAGATCTGAAATGGCATCTCTACCGAGATGTCCAACGTAAACTCTCTGAAGACCAGAAAGAACAAGTCTGTTTCTTCACATTTACTTAACCAAACAAAAAGGTTAAAGGTTAAATAATCTAAACCCAATAAGAAAACAGATAAGTAATGTCATGAGATTAAAAAAAACTAAATTCAATGTGTCTCACCTTGCTGCTTCACTGGCCACACAAACCTTCTCCACAGAGACCTGATGGGTTAGAAAGCACATAAAATGATCTCTGATTAAAATTATTCCTAAATTGACTAAAGAAAATTATAGTAATACCCATTCCTTTTGAGAAATAAATCACATTTACACTTAAAAATTTAAAGACCCTTTAGAAGAATAAAAAACAAATTACAAAGCATTTTCATGCTATTTGCTTATTCTTCACTGTTGTGTAACTGACGTTATGTCCCGATTCTTCTCAAAACTTCCAACTTCAAATCCAGTCAAAAAAATTAGGTTAAACTGTCACTGGAAGTTACTCTACCCACCTCTGTGTGATACTAAGATAAATATCAGTGATATTTACTGTAGTACTTACTGCTGAACTAGCAAAATTAGCTTGCCAACATAGCTTTTGTCAGTGAACATGTAGCCTACATGTATGTTACTACATGGACTTACTCTGCCAGTCACCAGAGCTTTATTATTCATGTGAAGAGTTTGTACGTCCTTTACAAAGCTCTTTAAACATTGATTATATGCGTCCAGGGTAAACGCACTCTTTGTTTTCACAAGGCAGTGAACTATGACAGCAGCCACTTTTTAGACATACGTTGCTCTTGCACTTTGGTCAAGATGGTCAATATATTTTATTTTTGTTGATCTCAGAGCCACAGTTTCGCTATGCTTCGCGCTACGCTTGCCTACCAAGATGGCGGTTTAGTGGCAGGACCACTTCCAGTTCAGACTTGTGGGAACAGTGTATTCTAGATAAGTGCAACACATCATTCTATTAAGTTTTGTACTTTGTTGCCACACAATGGCAACTATTTTGAAAGAAATTTCCTCTAAAACTTTTCTAAAAACCCACCAATTATTGGCCCCGCCTCCGAGTACAGGCTCCGCCCCCTACCTGTGTGGTCTGGTTGAGCGCGGCGCTTTCCTGCCATGGAGCCACGCTGCCCGGCAGGGAGAACAGGATGCTCCCGTCTCTGACCACCAGCTCTGACACAAAGGTCACCTTAATGAGGACGGTGGCGCCGGGCGGCAGGTTGCCCACGCTGATGGTGAACACATCCTGCAGAGAGGAACCAATCAGAAAGGCTGGGATACGTTCCTGAAACCATCAGGATGTTGCTGGACTTACAGGAGCGTCCTGGTCCATGAGGTACGCTCCGTGGCCTTTTGCTATCGCCTGTTTGTACTCCTTACGAGCTGCTGCCTTCTCCTTCACCTGAGAACAAAAACACAGCAGAACGGTCATATTAAAAAGCAACCTGGCCTTCCACCTCCATGCTACGTCACATGGATGCAGTAATTGATGCAAAAGAGCCCCAAACTTCTTTGGGATTATTTTTATTTTTTTGGGTTTTGATAAGAGCTGGAAATAAATATTTTTTTTGGCATACCAACAATAAATTGGGGAAAAACAATTGGTACATTCTGCAGATTTTCCATTTAACAACTTCAGCCTGTTTTGTACAAAATTTGAAATACGTTAAACATGAAAAAAAAAATTAAATAAATAAATAATTCAATTCCGTTTTTGAAGAAGTAAAACATTTTCCTTCCCAAAATTAAGCAACAGCATTTCTTAAGTGAACGGTTGATCATTTGTAGCAAATAATGGATCTGGTTATATCCTCTACTCCAACATCTTTCTTACAATGTGGCCAGAAAAAGATTTAAAGAGGAGCGGCAAAAGCAAATGAGGCAGATTAGCTTAAAAACAGACAACACATTGGGTTGAACTGCGTCAGTGCTGTTCAGTTGTTTTCTAAATTAGGTTGTATTTTGTTTTGTGAAATATTCAGCTTCAGATTACCTCTCCCACCACGTGTTTCCCATTGATGAAAGCTTCAAATCCGCACACAGCAGCCGAGTCGTCCAATGGGAAGACGTACTTCGCCTCGATGGGCACTGAGCTCTGATTGGTGTATTTCTGGAAGATGATGACCTGACAGAGGAAAAAGCCTGAATCAGAACCAGGATTAATGCGACACCAAGCTGATCCAGGCGCTTCTCTTTCCAACCTGGGAGAGCAGATCCATCAGTTTGCACTTCACATGGACGGCCTGCAGGGGGAGCTGCTGGCCTGAGCTGTCCAACAGACCAGCTTTAACGTCCTCCAGAGGGTTCTTCACGTTTTCTAGATCTTCTTCTACATGTTCTGAAGTGAGATCTGCAGACAGGGTGGCTTGTTACTTTCAAACACATTAGATGGGAATGTATTTGAAAGTAGAAACCACACTGAAGCTTTTTATTTTATTATTAAAACTAGGGCTGAAACGATTCCTCGAATGATTCGAGTACCTCGATTACTAAAATT